AATTGAAGAGATATTCAATGTATCCTCTACCACTACCATGGAGTTCCTAAGGTTGTTTTTCACTCTTTTCAAAGTTGAGAATGACCTTTCACCACTGGCATTAATAATCATCAGGGATAGTAAAAAAGTTCTCAGTAATTGCCAATATTCAATGAATAAAGAATTTGTTGTGATTATTCCTGAACAACGCTTAGTCGTGTTCATATTTCGCTCATCTATTTTTGAGATTCTAACTCTTTTTTTTTTCGCGTATTGAATGTAAAAATATATAGAACTTACCATCCCCGTCTTGAGATCGTGAAGTTCTGATTCTGTCTCATTCGAATTTAGAAAAAAATGAATTTATTTTATTGCTTTTCTTTACAACTTCGTCTAACTGCTTCTGTTTATTGATCTTCTGAATGCACACGTTCTTTTTCACTCATTTTTTCAAATTTCAGTTTCAAAATTTATTTATTATTAGTATCATTACCAACAATACCAACGACAACCTATTGAATACTGAACTCTGATTTTTTGTTGTTGTTGAGCTTTTGTATTTTAGCTTCTAAGACACAGCTGACGCTAGATTAGTGCATGTTATGATTTCACAAAAACAGTATCTCAAACAAGTCCTTCCGATGTGGTGCCGAATGCCAGCGGTAGCTAATTGCGTGTTTGCTTCAAAAGGCGACTAAAGAGGCGGCATATAAAAAGCAAGAAGCAATATAATATATTTGTCGCCTCATCGGCGACCACTGTATAACTGCTTGCTTTTTCTCTTTTCTCTATTTCTCTACCGCCCCTTGAAATTCACCGCCGGGGGCTGATAGTCCCATAGCCCCCCCCTAAATCCGGCACTGATTCGATTACTGGCATAGTGATCAAGGCGTTGCTCTGATAGTCTTGAGGTCACGAGTTATCGATCCCTACTTGGGTCACTTTTTTCATTTTAGAATATGTTTATTGGAATATTCCAGGAACATTCAACATAGAATATTCTTTTGGATATATTCTATGAATATCTGAGGAATTCCCATCCGCGTATTCAAAGAATATTCCACAGATATTCCGGAATATTCCATATTATTTCTAGAATATTCCAATTTTCCAAAAGGAATATGATAGGGAGATTCATGGAATATATGGTGCTGTCTGGAGAAGGCTATGTGGATACTATTCGTTCTCCAATCAAACGAATACTGCTAATCTGCTCTCTGGCGAAACTACTTTCTCCAATCCTTCATCAGTCACCATGAAGAGTTCATCATCTATATACTACAAGAACTGAACTTTTCAAGCAACGAAATCACGCATGAGTTATGTGTATGCGTGAGCAATCCTAAAGAACTTGAGAAGTGATAATGTTGTCAAGTGTGCTTATAAGTCTCAATGAAATCAAATAAATAGGTAAATGAACTTTTTATTCAAAAAACTTGAAAAAGACATCTTCTCTCAAAATAAACAGAAAAAAATCCTCTCACGGGTGGAAAAGTCCCCACCCGTGGGTGGGAAGTGAAAGTAGGTAATATGTCATTTTCAGACCTTTTTAACGTCAGTAATGATGACATTACATATATAGTTGTAAATGAAGAAATTTGTCAACCTTCGTGCAGTTTCCAAGACTCTATTGAGGAACTGCCTCCACTGCCGGCGAAATGACGTAGGAAACGAAAACGAGATAGAACAGTGTTATATTTAACTCGAGACCAGACTTCGATGAACTCAAGGAGAAAAATTAAAGTTCTCAATTAGGAACAGAAGGCACTGGTAGAAAGAGCTGAGGAGAAAATTTGATCGATGAACGAAGATAACGAAGATAAAAATGTATGTGACATTGGGGATGACTACGACGTGGCCTGCTTCTATCGTGATGAGCTTTACTCAAGAACGAAATATTGGATTGATTGTCAGAAATCAATGGGAATGAAGGAAGCAGCACAAAGAATTATCGTGAAACGAACGTTTTGAATTTGAAAGAAAATAATTTGTCAACCTTCGTGCAGTTTCCAAGACTCTATTGAGGAACTGTCTCCACTGCCGGCGAAATGACAAAGGAAACGAAAACGAGATAGAACAGGGTTGATATTGAACTCGACACCAGACATCGATGAACTCAAGGAGAAAAATTGAAGAACAGAAGGCACTGGTAAGAAGTGTTGAGAAGAAAATTCGATCGATGAACGAAGATAACGAAGCCTGCTTCTATTGTAATGATCTTCACTCAAGATCTCGAACGAACGAAATATTGGATTGATTGTCAGAATTTTTCTTCTTAGTGCCATGCAGAATGCGCTGATGTCAGTAGAAGAACTAGGAAGTTTATTTGTGACGTATGTAAATAATGGTATCGCACTTGCTTTTTCCTTCAGAATTCAGTGTCTCCTTTTTTCTAAGGTATGGAGACTGTTCATTTGCTGGATGGGAAATATTTATGTAAAGAAAAGTGCACAAAAATAACCAGTGCATGAGTATCTTCTGAATCATTCGAGGTCGGAATTCGAAATTTACATTGATTTTTTTCAATTCCGGTTCAACCGGAAGCAACCACAACTCTGAATTTTCAGATAGGTCCGCTATATATTTCATTATTCCAATGAACTAGTGTGTGTGAAACGATCCCCTGAATACGAATATGGGAAAATATACAGGGTGTCCTATTTGAAAATCAGAAGTTGAGGTCGTTTTGGTTTGAACTAGAAGTGATTGAACAAAAATTGGTTTGTCAATTAATAATGAGCAATATCGGATTCCGAATGAATCAGACAGCATTGAAGTTATGTTGTGCATTCATCTACATAATTCGATGGTCATCTGAGGAATACGCCTATGATATTTGTATGTTTAACAAACACTTGAGATGTCTTCTCGTCGTTTGGCAACCCGAATCAATGTTAACCATGATTCTCAGAATGTTTGCAATTCGTTACGGAACAAGACATATCTGGAAATATTTCCGCGGTAGCTCCTTCACCAATTCCAGAACTGTCGTTCCAAATCTGTCAGTGGTGACAAGCGTGACCTCAATATTCAAAGGGCAATGAAATGAGATGTTTGTTCAATGATATATTATATCACCAAAGTTATAGTAAATAACAAAATGGTGTTTGCGAATATGATTTAATTTTGAGCATTCGTTGATTTTGCGATAGTGAGTTTGATTTTTCTAGTTTATCAAATATCAGGAAAGGAAAACTGGGGATTTCGGGAATATCAGGAAAACTGGAAATTCCAGGAATATCTGGCCAACAAACCCGAGTCTTGTACTGAATAGTGCCGGGAACGATCAAGAATTGATCTACGGGGATAGAAGTTGGCGCGATGAAATCGACTGCAGAATTGAAGGATTCAAGAAATCGAATTCCAAAGACTCTGGACGATTTCGGTGTCGCTAATCTCGAATATGGCTCTTCAGTGCCATGGATGATCAGGAGTGCATCTGACCAAAACATTCGAAATATTAGAATATCGTGTTCAAAGGGCTCAATTACATTCTTACACTTTCAATTTCACTTTCATTTCTAATTATCACGCTGCTGATTGTTACATTTGTGGTCTCTGACAATTTCGGAATAGTATACGGCGGAAGATGAAATCATTAATTTCATTGAGAAATGATCAATCATAATTGTACGATATCTTCAACCCTCACAGGTTGTTGCACAACCTACATGAAGCGAGATACAATAAGTTCAAGTAACATTTCAAATGCCTAGTAGCTTCGATGAGACTTCAAAGAGGTAATGTGAGCGCCAATGATATATAGGTCTCATTTGTTCTACCGTTTCAAGAGTGCCTTGGAAAAAACAAATTGACCTCCATGTCCAATTAAAAGGTTTTGAGATCCTATTGTAGAACTATCGCATGAAACAATTTGGCATTCACCTCACTTCGTTTTGAGAGAGCTCTGTGTAAGTCATTGAAATCCTTTATCAAAACTATTTACTTTTAACAACCCTCTTAAAACACTTGAGTTTTATTAGTGTTTCGAATTTGACCAAGAGGTTTCGAACTATTCCTATTAAAATACGTCATAAAGCAAACATAAAACCAAATTTAAGCTAGGCCAATTCGTATTTGACTGAGGCAATAATGAAACCTAATGGTATCATTATAGCTATGTGAAAGTAATAATTGAAACCTATAGCCAGAATGAATTCATCGAAGTCAATCATAAAATCTAACGGATTTATCAAGGTTTTCTTAAAGCCGTGTTAAACCCAAATAACTAATTTTGCTGAATGCTGAGAACTGACAAGACCACGCCCACGAGTCGTGAGCCGTAGTTGTCACGTTAATCGATTCAAATGTCCTCTAGTGTGAATTAATATAATCATGATTCACATTTATTTGATATAATCAATAAGCCACTAATCATATCGAAACATTTCGTGACAATTGAATCTCAATTGCTAATTAGGAGTATTACCAATACTCAATTGAGAATTTATGAATCATCGAATAACTAATATTTTTGAAGTTCCCAACCTTGATTCAACACATGGCAACTTTGCTATAGTCTGTCTGCCTCAGCTTATGAAATCGTGGCGTCAGTTTTTACTGATGGCGGTAAATTGAAAGTTATTTGAGTGATGACTCTATTCAAGAAATAAAAAAATTAGTCCACTCGCCTATTGTCGAACTTCCACGGTGAATAAAAAGTAAATCTATTCTTATCGATTCTTTTTATTATATTTTATGAATAAAGTTCACAAATTCGTTTTTTTTTCTCATCATCAGAACTGACTGGATTGACCAATAGCATTTAGTAAACATATGATCATTAGTCAGCTAACTAAAAGTTCAAAAAAAATTCCAATACCTACCTCCTGTCCCTATTCTCCCTAGGAACGCACGATGTTCTCTGAACATTATAGAAATTCCCTTTCGTGTGCTCCAAGCGATAAAAAAAATAAGATATACGGTACCTATGCATAAAAAGCTGATTCTATTTCAATCGATTCTCATTATTATATTCAATGAATAATGTTCACAAATTCTTTTTTTGTTCACATCATCAGAAGGATGGATACTAAGGAGTGGCTCACTCATAACAAGAGCGAGATGTTGAAGGTAGCATTACGAATGCACGGGAAGACAGAGGAGCAGCTGGAAGAGGATATTCAGATAATCAGGGATTGGCTGAAAACTCAACCGCATTTGCCTGAAATACCCTGTAAGTATGGGGATCAGTTTCATCTAGAAATGCTCAGAGTCGATTCAATATTCCTATATTCTGAAATTCAGTGGATATCGCTTTGCACAGTTCATTGGATATCAGAATGTTAGGTTATAAAGGGTGTTTCGAGAGTTATGTAACAACATTTCGAATGTGGTAACTTCAGGATACCAAAAAACGATCCTATTTACGCAGGTACTCAGTTTCGGTGGTGTATAGACACAGTGTTCTAATTATAGTTCAACTGTGGATAACATGAACAGCAAAATAACTCTGAAACTCACACACAGGTAGGTTATTCAATAGGGCAAAGATCAGAAAATGATGATGGAAAGTATTGTTCTAAAAAAAATTTTTCTTATCCATCATTCGATTGCCCCCTTACGAGCAACCGTCAGAAGTCTGCAAGAGACTTGTGCAAGCAAGAAATAAGGGGGGGGGGTGGTCTTACCTTTCAACGTGTGTTCCCAAACACTTTCTCAGGCCATCAGGTGGTGGGACTCGAACCCACTACCGGTAATACAATGTGAACAGAACATTGACGCTCTAACCACGAGGCTACGCTGGCCCTATTCAATGATTCAATTAATTTTTAATTGATATACGTTACAATGATGAATCTTCGTATCTGAGTTATATTTATGTTTCTCTATTGAATGACTACTTCGATGGTTTTAATCATAAATTCATTTTTCTATACAAAATGAATTGAAAAAACAAAAATATCTGAAGTCTTCATAGGAATACTAACACGCTATATGAGCTGCTGGGTTTAAATTTTCAATAGGTATATTTCAGCTATATATGCATGTATCGAAAAGGCTATCCAATTTGTCGAAAACAAAAATCCTAGAAGGTGTATTTGAAATTATGACCATACTTTCACAAATAACAGTGGGCATTAAGAATCTGAATATCTCAACATTTTCATCGAGAGCTCGTTGACTCTTCACTATATTATGGAATTTTTGTTCGAGAAAATCGTTCGAAGGATTTCGAACTAGGAGGATGTTGTGCTAGTTCAAATAGCACACACTGTCATACATTATATCGATTCAATCCCCACTCATCAATGAAAGCAAATGTATTTTTTTTCTTATTTAAGCGACAGGGAAAGTGGCTTTCCTCTGACAGCTAACAGGCGATAAAGGTGTACTTTTACTGCCTCTACTGTAGTTTGTTGCTATGCAACTTTCCAAGGAATTCTGATAAAATTGGTAATCGAAATTGACACTGCCCAATGAGCACAGTGACGTTGAAAAATCGTTACTAAATGGTTTGAAACCGAACGTATGGAAAGGGTATTTCTGTATCGTTGATTCAACAAGAAAATGTCGCACGATAAAACATTTTCGTTTCAATCAAATAACCTACTATAAATAAACGTATCTTAATAACGTTCTTTCAACTTGAGTTTCAACGTGACATAAACGTAATGTTTCGATGTTCTGTAATTGTCGATCATGAAGGTTTATTCAACGTTTGATTGACGTTTGAAAAAGTTGATAAAATAAGGTTTTTCAACGTTTACTAACGTAACTCAAACGTTTTAGCTAGCTAACTTTTCGTTATTTCTGTATCCACAATGAATTCATCATCATTTTCATAATTATGGCAATCAATATTATCAGGACTTACCAACCTGATTTCTTTCGTTCCACTTTGTTCTTGGTGACGTACCTATCTTCACGTATTCCTATTCAGATCTGCTCGACAACTCGTATTTGTACCTAAACTCTTGGTGTGAGTGTCGGCGAGATGTGAACGGAATGAATACACGTTGTCTAATGACGATTATTATCTAACGTTATTAGAAAACATATATTACACGCTTTTTATACCATCCGTTATCAAATACGTATAAACGTGAGTTTACCGTGAGGACTTTGCCGGATCGATGAAAAGTAGTTTTGTATACATGTAAAACACACGTTTTCAAATGACGGATGATATAGAATAGAATTTAACGACAACTTATATTACACTTGACGAATAACAGTTGAAAAACGTAGTTGAAGAACGTTTCATTCACGTTCTTCTCCTACTCTCGGTCAGAAAATGTTGACAGATTCGCGTTACAGAATTTTTCATATCGAACGTCTAACCAACGTTTCTCAAAAACGTTTTATAAATGCATAATTTCAAAAGATCGTCAGGACATATTGTTCTCAAACATGTTCATGAAACGTCTCGAATAAACTTCAATCCAAGAGTTTAACAAATGTTTTGAACAAACGTCAGTTTTCCTTGAACATTTCAACGATGATATAGAATGTACCCTAACAACACAGGGATGTCCTAGGTGCGTCCCTTTCATGTCCCGCGGTACAAGGAAATGATTGGGACATCCAGGGGATGTACCGCCAGTAGTTGTCCAGTGGACATCCCACCCGGTACATCCCTAGGTTATCCCATTCGTGTCCCTGGAATATCTGATATCCATTCTTCACATCAGAGAGTCATTCAATATCATCAAAATATTGAGTCGAATTTTTTCGAAAATGTATTTCTTCCGGAAAATAATTGTGATGAAAATAAAGAATATAGTCTCAAAACTTCTCAAGAAATGACCATTTTTCGCAAACAGAGATCGTAAATGCATAATGCCCCTCTCATTTTCAAACACCCAAGAATGATAATAATTATACCCGAATCCTAACAGTTTTATTTATCCAGGTTTCTGTAGTTTTCCTGTTTATAAATCTGTTCAATACATAAATCTTCAGAAGGCATATTGGCCAATGGAGTAAGGTGCGTGCCTGATAAGCTGAAGGTCCCGGGTTCAATCCCAACTAGACCTACTTTTTTTTTTCTTTTGTCGAAGGGATGTCCCTGGGATATCCTTGGGACGTCCTAGGGATATCCCTTCTTTGTACTCGGTACATCCCAGGAACGTACCAGGAGGGACATCCCTTGGATGTCCTTTTTGTCTGAAAGCGGATGTCCCTGGGACGTCCCTAGTATGTATTTTGTCCCAGAAAAGATATCCCTGGAATGTCCTTATTCGAAATTAGGGACGTCCCTGGGAAGTCCCTAGGATGTACTCGTGTTGTTAGGGTAGTTTAACGGCAACTCATATTACACGTTGACAAATAACAGATGGAAAAAATTGTTGAAAAACGTTTCATTCGCGTTCTTCTTCCACTCTCGGTCAGAAAATGGTGACAGATTCGGGTCAATGAAACGTTAATTTAGAACGTCTGACTAACGTTTCGGAGAAACGTGTTATAAACGCATAATTTCTGCTGATCATCAGGAAATATGGTTTTCAATACGTTCATGAAACATTTAGATTCAACTTTCGATACTCCAACCATGTTTCAACGTTGAATTTCTGAACCATAAACCGCACGTGTGCCCATTGGGTGACATTGGCTGAACAAAAAGTGATGGAGTTTTCAACAAAAAAACATTTGGAGAAAGAATTATATATTTCACATGACAGTCACAATCTACTACTTTCCTGCCTCGTGAAACAAATAACTATTATTCTCATCACAAACTTTATTTTGCAGGTGACAACCTAATAATGAATTTCCTGCTTTTGCACAAGTTCAGCATTGAAAATACTAAGGAAAAACTTGATATGTACTATACCATCCGGCATCTCCTACCCGAAGTTTATGACAGCAGAGCAAATACTGCAGAAGATATGAAGGAGAATGCTGATATTTGGTGAGTATATTATTTTTGACAGACATTCAGGAATTCGGGACAAACTATCCAATACAGTAAACAAACAGAAGATAGGAGAGAAAAATCGTGTACTCGCAAGTTTTTGAAAAGTGGTAGAGGGAAGTGCCATGTATTACAACATACCGAAAGTTCTGATCCGAAATTTTTTTAATATATCCACATTTAAACAGCAACAGTATGGACTACTACAGAAAAATATCCACATTTCTCCTCTTCAAACTTTTTTCCAAACGAAGTGTCACTGACAAGTTATAAGATTTTCCTTTCAGGCTCCCTGATGGAAGAGCAATCGTTGAACGCAGTGACATTTTGGGAAGAATCATCTGATTTATCCTACTTCATATTGAAATAATACTCATATTTTCATTATATAGAACCGAGGAGATAAAATCCCAAATAATCAAGTAAAATGAATGTAACACTTCCTTGATCAACCTACAGACAGTATTCAGAGTAGCCAACGTTTGAGGAAATCGAAAATCTGTATTATTGAAAATATGTGACATATCGAGAGCATTCGACCGTGTTTGGCACGAAGGACTCCTCCACAAACTACCATCATACGGCTTACCACCTCAGCTATGCCATCTCTTATCGAGTTTTCTTTCAGGCAGATCGCTTCACGTGGTGGTGGACGGTGTATCGTCTGATACCATTGGCATCAATTCCGGCGTTCCACAAGGATCAATTTTGGCACCAACATTATTCCTGCTTCATATTAATGATCTGTTGGGAGTAACAACTTGCCCCATCCACAGCTTTGCAGATGATAGTACCCTCCATACTGCGTTCTCTTCCAGAATTCCCATTTCTTCCCAGGAAACTAAGAACTCACGGCGCAGGCAGGTCAATGCCGTCAATGAAGATCTTGCTGAAATCACAGCCTGGGGAACGAACAACCTAGTTGAATTCAATGCCACCAAAACTCAAGCCTGCATTTTCTCTAGGAAGGCGGAACTCAGTATGCCCGATATTGTAATGTCTGGCTCCACCATCCCCACCAAGCCCACCATATTTATGCTCGGTATTTCCATATCAGCAACACTCTTTCATGGGATAATCATGTCAGATCCATCGCAAAATCTGCTTCACAAAAACTCGGATTCTTGTTCCGTGCGAAAAGCTACTTTACACCTCAACAGCTTCTCATGATCTACAAAGCGCAGATACGGCCTGTTCTAGAATACTGTTCTGACATATGGGGTTCAGCACCAAAACATACGCTGATGCTCTTAGATTCCATCCAGAGAAGAGCCATTCGCCTGGTGGGTGACGCCACACTCACTCACTCTTTGACATCATTGGAACACCGTAGAAAGGTCGGCGACCTCTCACTTTTCTATCGATACTTCCACGGGAAATGTTCTTCGGAAATCTCTGCAATCATCCCTTCACTAGCAATACCAATCAGACGAACTAGACAAGCCCAGTCAGCACATCCTTTCGTTGTCAACCTCGAAAGATGTCGAACAGCACTTTATCAAGACTCCTTCATCCATAGAACGACTAGGCTCTGGAATTCATTGCCTGTGGAAGTATTCCCAACAACATATAATCTCCAAAAATTCAAAAAAAAATTCCAATACCTACCTCCTTTCCCTATCCTCCCTAGGAACGCACGATGTTCTTTGGACATTATAGGGATTCCCTTTCGTGCGCTCCAATCGATGAAAAAAAAGTGAGATGATATATCGTATAAGGACATAAAATTTTGATTAGCTTGTACACTGTACAGGCAGCAATATTATTGTATGATACATGAATAAATATCGATCATATTTCGATCCATAATTTTCCAGTCATTTCATCCCTCTGCCTAAAAGAACCGAAGACGGAGACAGAGTCAGTGTGGTCCAACTCACCGAAGGAAGTGGTGATATGTTCGATATGTATAGATCGATGGGTTATTGCTACAACACTTTGGAGATACGACTGCAAGAAGATGTTTTGACTTCCGACATATTCATCAATGATCTACGATACGTTCGTATGTCTCACATTGTCAAAATAACTCCAATACACCTGAAGAAGGTGATCACAATTCTAGAGGTATGTATATAGGTATGTTCACGATTCCATATACAGTTCTCAACACACTGAATGGACCACTCATAATTTGACTCTATTTCGAAGACCTGTATTTTTTGAAAAAATTTACAGATTTTCATGCGGTTTTCGACATCAGATATGATATTTCATCGGCTTCCAAGACAGTTAGACCACTCTGGGAGAGTCTGTAGAACAAAACATACACAGAGTGTAAAGTGGAACCATTACACTATTGACTATATTTCCAATGCTGCCAGAGAACTCGAGAAATTTTTGTCTGATCAAAAGTCAGTCATATTATGATACACTGGGACCTCATCTCGGGACGTTTTCGTGATTTCTCCTTGATTGGTCATTGAAACAAATGAGAATTCGACTTTTTTTCGAAAGTCTTGCATTTCTTGGATTTTTTCTCTAGAACTCCACTTGAGCTGACAATTGAGAAGAACTGTTCTCATGTTTTGTGAAGGACAATAAAAGACGAAAAAATCACTATTGTGTATATACAGGATGATAAGAAAATAGGGCAAAATCTCATTTCAGTAAAAAAAAACAAAAATGGTGACTAGATCCATGGCCCATTCGATTCGGTATATTCAGAAACGGCATTCTCGATATCCATTATTTATATCAGACTATAGACTCGAGATGTTTTCGAAAATTCGCCTATAATTGGAATACAGTATGTAAATTTTCGATGCAAAATTGTTTCCTGATATCGATGATTCTTGTCAGCTCATCTCCAATATTTATTCCCCAAGTATGAGACACAGAATATTGTTGTTCAATATACTGAGTGTTCCACAATTCATCTGACGAATTACGAACTCAAGCTGCGGTTCTGCGGACTATTTTCAGAGTGTTCTAGCTCTTTTTGAAGCCGATGGAACATCGCATCTGATATCGAAAACCGCATGAAGATTGGTCGATTTTTTCATAGAATACTGTTGAGAACTGTTGTTGAAAACAATGCAAAATCACGACGATTATTCTCAATCCAACCTGGTAACTTTCATGAAATTCAAACAGAAGAAGTACCTAGTGTGATACAAAGAATGTGACTGTTGGGTGTGTTACTTTATATTTTGGCGCGCTCTTGCGGGAAATACACCTGTTTCGTTTAGTGCATCAGATCGAAAAATAAATTGTAAAAGTCTAAGAAAAATTCAACATTGAAAAGAATGGACATTGTATGAACTTGAAAATTGAAAAAACTTGTATGAATCCAACTCAAACTATTCCAGACTACATAAATCCACACAAGGGGTCTATTCAGTAAAATATCGTTAAAATACGATATTGTTACATTACCGGTACATTGGGTAACGACATTGAGAACGATGTCGTTAGAGAAAACAGGATGTTGATGTTCTGTGGGTAAAAATGCGTGAAGAATTTGTCTGTTCTCAAAAGTTTCAGGTTCTTTCCGTTCAACTTGCCAGAAAACAAGAAAATATTATCTTGCCGCTCTTTTATTACACGTATAGTGCCTATACATAAGGCAAAGTAGCACATCTGGTAACTATCAACTTGCATGGGTTTTTACCATATTAGATCACTTGTAGGTATCCTTTGCTGACTTTGTTGTTGCTTGAATTCAAAGATCTAGTATATAATAATATTATCGCAGAATGTTATTTCAAGAATATATTCACATGTATAGGTATAAAAATATACCGACTAGAAATAATGAAGAGTTTATCTGTGTACATCATTTCTCTAACTACCTCAACAAGTGCTCGCCTTATTGGCTATTTGTTATTATTCGAATAATCAGCAGAACAAGATTTTTCTCTAGATGATATCGGTAGTGGCTTTTTAATCACACTCCACATGCAGAAAAGGTGTACTTTTACTGCCTAGGCAGAAAGAGTTTGTTGCTATGTAACGTTCCAAGTAATTTGCATCAAATTGGTAATCAAAATGGACAATGACCCTGGGTGAAATAAAATTGATGGATTATTCGGATTTTGCGTGGAATTGGAACAAATTCGGAGAAAAATTATATGTTTCACATGGTAGAGAAGAAGATGTAATGCCTACTAGAGTCTCGAGATCATACCCGTGTGTTCACCGAACACGCCCGATCGTTCCCTAAGCGGTGGGGAAACGTAAACGGGCAGCAGTAACTACGTTATGAATATTGGCGCGTGCCTGAATTATTTTGGAGTAAAATTTGTCAATTCAATGTACTTCGAAACGGAACACTATAGTAGTTGTGCCTTCTTGTTTTACATATATTTATAGGTAGACATCAAATCAATAAACATAGTGCTCTCGCCATCGGTATTTGCTGAACTTCGCTATGGGAAAAATGTTGGGATGAAGAATGATCTATACAGGGTGTATCTAAATAACACCGAAATAATTCAAGGGATGATTTCTTGTGATATAATATGATGAATTAAGGTCATATAAACATGTGTCCTAAACTCGCTTCGTTTTCGAGGTACAGGGTTACGTCCTGATTTCGAATCCGAAGTGATTTTTAACCTATCTTGCCTCCTAATATCATTTTCCGGAAATGTTGTTGGGTCCATGACCAGAGCAGTGTTTTTCACTGAAGATTACCTCACTTTGGTCATAGTTGGTATATATATCTATCGCTCCTTAAAATTGAACAGTTACGTTAGATATTATGCGGGTTGATATGCCATTATAGAAGAGACATGCACACTGTTTATATTTTTAAATACATCCAGTGGGATTGAATTTTATTTTATGTCGAATATTAGAGTGTGTTTTTTTATGTGATATATTTGTTTTGTTAATTTCAAATATATATATTTTTTTTGTAGGCATACTAGTACTTCTTTTATGTAATTCTGAAATCTGATCCACCCTGTATTTATTTCAATTAAATGGCATCAGTAGATAGTAAATAGAATGTTAGGATAGGGACACATGTAAGCCATTTCGACAAATCAATATAGGTATTGTATAGTTTTGATACAAGAAAAATCTCGATTTTTCACATTCTACGTATAGTAGGTATACCTTGAGCTTGATCAACGAAATCATAGCTCAATTAGAAGAATCGAAAAATGTAATAAAATATAAGGTGTTCCATTTTGAATAACGAAGCTGCTACTACTATACTACTAAGTACTACATAACTACTAATAATAATTTCTAGTGAAGCAGATGAACATTATCGAAAATAATTTGAATAAAACGAGCGTCCTCGCCAACAAAACATAAGCATATAATATGTATGTCGATGAGTGGTTAGGACTCGTCGTGACATAGCGAATTATTGCAAATCAAATCATCGCTGTCATTATCTGATAGGTCGCAGTAGATCACTTGATGCCTATCAAATGTTTCTTATTTATTCGAAAAAAAAATGTTGAAATGTGATCAAGAAAACTGTTGGTGGCCCACCCCGTACTACAAAAACAAAGACAGCATGAGAGAAGCTGCCTGCCCACTCATTGTATCATGACTGCCTGCTTACGTCTCGGTCTCCCCACCGCTTAGGTAACGATCGAGCGTGTTCGGTGAACACACGGGTATGATCTCGAGACTCTTGTGTAATGCCTTGGCTTGCTTCCTAGCCTCGGCTACGCCTTGCCTATAAAAGCCGCAACATTTAATCTCGTTTTTTTTCTGCCTAGTAAAACAAATGAATATTGTTGGAGCAGTGGTGGAATTCAGCCAAGGCAAGGCAATGTTGTGAATTTTATGGAAATCATATCGTCTGTGGAGTTCTCACATATCTTAGATTATTCATCTTCTATATTTTTCTTCATTGTACCAGTTTTCCACCTGATGGAGCTACTGTGCTATAGCGGAACATGTCGTGTGATTAGCAATTTTGTCGAAATCTTATCGTCTGTAAAATTTTTACTGCTAATATTTCTGATGGTTTTTATTCGTATTTCAACATAATATAGCAACTGTGCTGTGGTCTGCTCCTACTCACGAAATAGGTTCGTCAGTTCTTATTTGCGGTCAATTTCTATTCGTTTGGAAATTATCGTGGCAATGTTGATGTTTTTGGCACCTTATATACAATCGAACAAAATGAGAAAAATACTCGAGTTATGATCCTATTGAGAAATAAAGTTCACTTGCCTTTATTCACATGATATGCCTCATAATGTCATTGAGCTCAAAATTCCCCTATAGTAGGAGAATCAAAGAGGAATTAAAATAGTCACTCATACCTTGTTAAAAAAATAATTGGGAATGAAATAAAATATAAGTGTATTCGAAAACAAATCTGCTTTTATTTCCAACAAGGCAAATGTAGAAGCATTCTTGAGATTCATCTCCTCATTCTCGTATTTAGACACTGTTCAGATCGAAGAGTTGGCAGAAAAATACTCACAAGAAATATTTTCAAGATTCCTATTCAACTTAACGCTAGACAAATTTCAAGATAGTATTCGAATACGTGAGCAACATAGTTGATTGATTATCCTAATTACTTTCACTTTTTTTTTTTTTCAGAAAGTCTACAACAACAAAGTGAAACAATTTCATTTCTTGAATTGTCCGCCATATGCACTGACCTTACTGAATATATTCAAACAATTCATGAAACCAAAACTAGCTGCAAGGGTGAGTATTGAAATAGGAAGAAGATAATGCCCTTCACACACGCCATCAGCTTGAAATCTTAAGTTCGATCCACTTCCCAATTGTCTAAATTGCTGTAATGTCTTTTGTGCCGCATTTACTTGGAAGCGCACGAGAAAAATAATAATGTTCGAGAAATATCGTAGGTACCTAGGAGGTGTAGAGAATATATGATATTATTTATCCTCGAGAATACTTCCTTCAGCGACTTCCTAAGCTTTGTCAATTATTGTGTCGACGAACAAAATATACAGTGTGTCCATTTAGTGCGTAATTCTTCGATATCTCGAAATCCATTAACACTAGAGAAACATTTTTGGGAACAGATTTCTTCTCTTATTGAGGGTTTCCATTTCAAAAATATTTTCAATAATACTGGGTGTTTTATCAAAGCGGGACGACTCGGAGAAGAGTTTTTTTTAAATAGAACACCCAGTATTTTTTCTTCGAAATTTATTCCGCTGAGGTATAGCTCTCCATCACTGGAAAAAAATTGAATTCGGTTGAGGCGTTGCCCAGAATTGGGTATGGTATAGGTATTCATTCATTAATATCTTGAAAATATTTCGACATACAGTAGTAGCAAGGTCTCACCTGAACCAATCCAGTAATTTTGTGAGGTAACCTTTACAGGGTGCTAGAATTCACATTCTGAATATTGTGAGAGTCAGACGACGTTCATTAAAATTTTTCAAATGAAACACCTTGTATTTTCCATCACAGATTTATTCCGACGAAATTCGCCTTTTTATTTTCATCGCCAAAAAAAAAATCGAAATTGGTTGCGGAGTTTTCAAGTTATGAGTAATTTCCTCATGTTTATCACTATCTCAGGGCTTCAAGGCATGGTTCCTTCATATGATTTGAGTGTGGATATTTTGCTTGCCACATGACATCCGAGGTTTTTCATATAGATCATTTAGGTTTGTTTGCATTATGTGCATTGTCCAAATTCGAAATATTCTTTTTACATGTTACTTATGATTTGAATAATATGAACCTAAGTGAAACAAACAAACATGCCAAAAGCAATGCCTGCCTTTAGAACAACTTCTACAATACAAACAATGGAGATTTGGATTGCGAGAATAAGGACATTTTTTTAAAATTCAGAACACTTTCCATGTCGTTATTTCCACAATCAAAATCTCCATTTAACTTGAAGGAGGCAATCTCTACATAATGATAAGAACAATATTACTTCACTACGCGAGTTTCGAGAAAAAATACTACGCGGGATTCGAAAGGAAATTCAGCAAAATTTTGAATAAATTCAAGATGCAAAAAATTCGTGAAAGTAGCATTTTAGACCAACTTGTCAAAATAACCCACTCTGTTTTGAATTCAAACTAGAAGAGCTTGTTAATGTTCCTATTGTTAAAGAATATGTGGATGGTTAATGAAGGAATTTGATCAAACCGTAGCAACGCAATAATTCCACAATACAAATGAATAAGAGAAGTATGACGTACAAATTACCCAAAAATAGTAGTGAAAATAAGGAAATTATCCATAACTTGACAACGCCGCACCCAATTTTGATTTTTTTTCAGCAATGAAAAGGCGAACGATGTCGGAATGGATTTGTGAATAAAAATACAGGGTGTTCATCTGAATCTTGCAAAATTATGAATGCAAAATTGAGCACCCTGTTGAAGAACATGTCAAAAAATAACTGGATTGGTATACGTTAGACCATGCCACTTCCGTATGCCTGAAGTATTTTCAAAATTTGAATACATGAATATACCATGCCCAATTCAGCATGAAACTTCAATAGTGGTGAAAATAGATTCATCAATTATTACTTGGTAACGCCGCGACCGATTCCAATTTTTTGTACAGCGATGTGAAGGTGAACCTCGGCGGAATAAATTCAGACTAAACAATACTGTGTGTTCCATTTAAAAAAACTCGTCTCCGAGTCGTCCCGCTTTTATAAAACACCCAGTATTGTTGGAAATATTTCTGAAACAAGCAATTTCAGTAACTGAAAGAGTTTTTCCTTCGAAGTTTTTCTCTATAGGTTATGGCTTTCGAGATTTCGAAGAATTACGCAGTAAATTAATGGACACACTGTATAAAGAGATGATGAGCTGACTAGACTTATCGAGTTCGATTGGTAATACTAGAAATGGAATAATCGAATTTCTGAACAACATATTCGGTGAGAGTGAGTTTCTAAATAGGAAAGTGAAAGGTCGCCGACTTCCCAATGGTTTTTTGATGATTTTGACGAATTACCAATCAGGTGGATGGCTTTTATCTGAATGAAATCTTGGGGTTCTGAACCCCATATGTCACAACAGATAACTGAAAGAAAAAATCACTGGTTGGATCTACACCATGTTCATGAACGGGACAGCTACTGCATCTCTTCAGGATGAGGCAATCAGGTTCAAGGTCTCGCTCCTCTTGTGGTCACTCATGGGCCGCGATTCTTGACGGTGATAGAGTAGAATGTTCCCTGGAGAGCGCTCCCCGATTCGTTCCTACTGCTTCATATCAAATCAAGGAGTTCGTATTCTCAAGAGGAAGGGAGCAAAATCATAGCTCCCCGATAGACGTTGCTGCTACGTGTTTCCAAAGGTGAACGACCAATCAGATACGATTATATTCTGACATTTTGACATTCTACAGGCAAGGTGAAGGGTGAAGGAGAACGTTGAATGAATATAATTTTTTCCAAGTTATTATTCATCATTCGAGAATCATTTTCGAATTCATCATGAGGTGAAATTCACACCTCTTCAGCTCGAGATATGTGGCATACCTCAGTCTCTACAGTGAGAGCAGAGGTTCTTGTGAATGCTTCCATATGAGGATTCACAATGTTAATCAGTTGCCTCGTTAAACATTTTGTTAGCCGAAACATGCATTCACAAAAATTTCTAATCAGCCAACTCAAAAAGGGTTTTGTTCGGAAAGTGTAACCACACCAACGTCATTTTGTAGTTCAACATCCAGAATATCTCCATTCATATGTTTTTTGAATCCAAAGCACAATTGAAATCTCACGAAATATGGAAATTCAGAAAACCTTACCTTTGATCACTGATGAGACAGAAAAGAGAGTTATATTTTTATTCAATATATCGGCAGTTAGCCAATCAGAAGTTCTCTTAAAAATCTTGATAGATGCATTAGTACCTCCCTAGGAAGCGCTTCTCTTGTGTTATTCAGTTCAAGAATACGGTTCTCTGATAGACAGATGCCTCAAAAGAGGAGTGGAGCTGCAAGTTTATGTTGACGACATTGTCATTCTGGCAAGAAATACGACTGAAACAGTAGCCTCTAATATCCTTCAAGGAACATTGGATGATGTCTACAGTTGGTGACAGAAAAACAGATGTCTGTTAATCCTAGCAAAACTGTTATCGTACCCTTCACTCTACTTTCCTACAATAGTGAGATTATTCCACTTGCAGCGTGACACTCTCTGCAGCTTCGAGCGAATATGTCCATACATATCAGGTATCCGTAGACGACTAACGATTCTGATGGAACAAGTGTTCATAAGAGAGTGAGGTGACTCATTGTGATGAAAGAGTTTAACAAACATGGTAAATGAAGAAGGGATGAAACTTGAATGATACTTGTATAACTATAAAATCATATCTTGCAGGTTTCAAATGAGTATCTTTCAATTTTCATCCTTCGAGTATAATCTTGAGCAGATGACATGTTTCACGTTGAAAACGTTGATTCATCGCGTTGACATTTCGTGGTTAAAATGTTTCATTCAGCTGTTGAAGGGTGTTTCTGAATAGTGACTTGTATAAATAGATTTTTCTCGGTGCTGAGCTATGCCATAGAACTAACTCTCTACTCTATTAGTTCTTTCGTTTCAGTTATTCATCTATGAGGATACAACTTCAATCACAAAACATATTTCCAAAGATATTTTGCCATGTGATTTTGGAGGAAATGAGCGGTCTCTTTATGAACTCAATGGTGAGTTAATCTATATAAATGGTACCCATTTCCTTTTGAAAAGAGAATATTGACCTCTTTTGAATACAATCGAGTTGGAAAGGAATCACATTTGTTTCTAAAGTATGATGAAGCTGAGTAAGTCTACTCTTTTTTGTCACAGAGGGTTGAGAAATTGTGGGTGAAAATGTAATCTGGACAAGGAAGTTCGATGAAAGCTGTAACAATCTTTTGTAGATCATGTAGACTTCTTGAGTACATAGCTTGATTTGTTTCAAGTTGGTTCGTACTCACCTTCTGAAAATACATGTACTACTTCATTCTATATTAATTTCAGAATATAAGTATACGCATACTTACCAACAATTTACTCACTGTCGATTCATTTGGCACATTATTGCTTCTGGAAACTTGAAATGATTTATCAATTTTTCTTCGTTCTTTCACAAAATTTTTGTGATGTGGATTCAGAACAATTGAACGTTGTTCGTTTTATGAACATATTTCCTGATAACTGTCCAAGAAAAAACACCGTATAACACGTATTCAGAAAATGGCGGCAAATGTAAATCCGTTGCTCCTGTTGGGACACACTTTATCTATTTATTCTTCGCAGAGATATGGAAACACAAACTATCAGAATATAACGACAGATTCATTGCATTGTCCAAAATGAGAACCGACGAGAAATTGAGGCCCTCTCCTCTGAAGAATGATCAGATTTTGGGATACCATGGCAACTTCAAGAAACTAGAAATGGACTAGATGGATAAGCTACTGGGTGATTGGTTCACTGTGATTATGTTTGATTGATAATAATAATAATAATAATAATAATAATAATAATAATAATAATGTTTATTTGCAGATATAAGAATAACAAAAGCATACATTGACAGATAATAATATAATGATTTAATAAATGATTTGAGAAACGTGTATTATTTAGGTTCACAAAATTCAAGTTTCGCAAATAAACTAGACGAATCCCACAAAAATTACTGTACGTGGGATGAGTGTTCATTTATTCTTGAAAATCAAGTTTCATTTCCTATTAATAAGTTTGAATTTGCAACATTTCATATGATGGTTCCATTAATAAATTTATTTTCAATTTTCTATGAGTCGGGTGAAGTCTTTTCTGTCTTTGTTTTTCATGTACTGTTTCAATTTGTTTTTGAACATAGATTGCGAGGCAATGGATCTTATCTCGATGGAAATACTATTATATAGTCTTGCCGATAAGTATCGGTAGTTTTTTTTTCCAATGGTTTTTTTCGCTGTTGCTGTTTTACCTTGTGAATTTGATCTTCCTCTAGTGTTATGTGAGTGATCAATTAATTGAAGGAGATGTCTGGTTTTCTGCTGGTATATAACAACTGTTTGGAAGAAAATTTGCTTCATGTCAAATACATTGGATTCTTTGTACAATAAGTCTGAGGAATACGTACGATCTTTATCGAGGATAATTTTGAGAATCCTCTTCTGGATAACCTCTAATGTTCTTATATAAATATTTGAAGCTCCTCCCCATGCTATGATTCCATATTTCAATCTAGATTCAACTAGAGCATAGTAGACAATTTTCATATGTTGTATGTCGAGAAATGAACCGAAAAATCTGAATTTGTACAATAGGCTACATATGGTCTGTCGAACTTTTTTTATGTGAGTGTTCCATCGGAGATGGCTATCGATAGTAATTCCTAAATATTTAACTAATTTCGACGACTTGATCTCCACGACACTCGTGTTATTGTTTATGGTTAGTTTTTGGAAATATGGTAAACCATTTTTCTTACAAGAGAATGCGAGGTAAGATGTCTTCTGGTAATTTATCGTTAAAATATGTTGGTTGAACCAGTTGATTATAGTGTCCATCTCTTGTTCCACGGTTGCTTTCAGGTTTTGCCATGATGAGGACTGGTAGAAGATGGCAGTGTCATCAGCAAAGCTCACTATAGTTCCTTCAGTATTCAAAGAGAGGAACTCGTTAAGATATACCGAAAACAAGATCGGTCAAAGGACCGTTCCTTGGGAAACTCCATATTTGATGGTTTGAATTGTGCTATTTGTATTATTGATCTTTACGTATTGTTTTCTGTTTGACAAGTATGTTTCAAACAAAGAGTATGCTATACCTCGAATTCCTAAACTCTCCAAAGCTTTCAACAGCTTGCCATGACTAACAGTGTCGAAAGTCTTGGCGAGATCTAAGAATACACAAAGTGAGGGAGAGCTGTCGTCTAGTGATTTATAGATCTTAGAAGTTAAACATTCAATTGCATCCTCTGTCGACTTTCCCTCGCGGAATCCAAATTGGTTGTTACATAGTAAGTTAAGTATATTTATCTAAATAATCAGTCAATCTGTTCTTCAATATTTTTTATAAAATTTTTGCTAGGTTTTTAATCAATGAAATGGGCCTGTAATTTATCATTTTGGTTTTGTCACCGCTTTTGAACAAGGGTTTTATCACTGACATTTTGAGGTTATCTGGAAAAGTACCGGTTTCTATAACTAAATTGAATAAGTAATTGAGAGGCTCTGCAATTTCATTTTTGACTTCTTTGAGTGTTTCTGCCCTGATTGAATCACTACCTGGTGCTTTGTTTGGTTTAAGAGATTCTATAGTTGCTATTATTTCATTGATACTAGTTGGTTTCAAGAATATTGAAGAAGATGCCGTTTTTCTGTTCGCTTGGGGATTTTTTACTTTTTCAATATTTTTAGCCAAATTGCTACCCACATTTGCAAAGTAATCATTGAATGAGTCTGCCATTGATTTATGATCATCTAATATTATGTCATTATCTGAAATAATTTTTTTAATATTTATTTCTTTTTGTTCTTTCCCTACGCTTTTTATTGTTTTCCAAAGATTTTTTGAACAATTAGCATTTTTTTGAATTTGATTTTTGTAAAAATCGCTTTTTGCCTGTTTGATCAAAGAATCGATTTTGTTTTTGTATTGGAAAAAATCTTTTTTGACATCTCCATCGTCTTTTTTTTCTCTGTATTTTTCATAAAGGCTATCCCTTTTATTTATCGAGTTAACCAGACCAGCGGTTATCCATCGTTTCCTTTTAATTTGATTATGTTTTTGTTTAATCACTATGCTGGCCTCACTTATACCTTTTTCTAAAATTTCTGTAAATATATCCATACTTTTATTAACATTTTCCTCCCTGTAAACTGCCTCCCATGTTTCATTCTGTGAATATTATTATTATATAAAATCATGAGAATTGAGTTTCATCGGAATTCGAACTGAACTATACTGGTAGTTTATCGAACCGTTACATATGGGGCATGTGAATGGCAACATGATTTGATTGTCGTAAGGCGAGCCAGGCTCTCCCCAACTCTCCGTGACTGTGATGTTGCAAATGCCATATCCTTCATCTATACTCTTATATATAATGATTCAATGATCAACCCGCAGTATGTATTTATGTTTAAAATCCATTCTCATGCAAGATTCTTTCAACTGAAACTAGAATGGAAGTATGTGTTTCTGAGCTATATCTGAATCTCGCAATTCTGGAAAGCGATTCGGGAGAAAACATCGAGTATGTCTACTGAATATTCTGGTGAAGATGAAAATGAAATGGAATCTGAATACGCATGAGCAAATTGCTGTTTAGATGTGCCTGTTTTTTTGAAACCTATATTATAACAATCATATGTAGAATTACATCTGGAGGTTCTCCTGTAAAAGTATTCCTAATATAATTTCATATAAAATGACAAATCTTTATTTTGATATAAACGCAAGGCACTGTCCAAAATGGTGATCGTCTCTGAAAAACTGATCATATTGATGGTTATTCATATACGTGTCCAAATTTGTTGACGATCGCACGACTGATTGCTGAGATATATGAAGGGAGGCCGTTTGAAATGAGATATGCTGAATATATACCAGCGATTTAAAATACACACGTTATAAATTTGAGAGTTTATTATATACAATATAGAAAAAATAAAGACATACGAGCAAAAATTCAAGCAAAATTAATAGGTCTCAATACTTTCAAGCAATTTCTGATTACGTCATGTTCGAGATTCGAACTTGAATTTTGCCATTTGATAGTAGGTACCTAGTATAGTTCCTCTTTACTTACTGATTCCTGTCAATAAAATCCAATATTACTATTATTATTATCCTTCAGATGTACACTCGTCGTCTGAGAACATTTCACGGGTGGATAGTATAAGCGCTCTTTTTGCACTGTGATTTAGTCAATTTGCGAAATGTCCGATGAAGATGAGTATACAGGGTGTCCCAAATTCGAGTCTCATCATTGAGATCTCGAGAAGTAGAAGAGAAACGAGAGAAAGGTTGTGCAATTTGCTGCTCATTGAAACGCCGCTTTGGAATTGGAAAAATTTCGAAAATTCCCGAATTTTTTTGGAAAAACTGAACATTCGCGATTCTATTTAAATATTTTATGAGTCTATTTGAATAGATTATCACACATTTCCATTGCTACTATTTCTCTTCAACAAGATGGTGTTATCAGATATTCAAACCGACGATTCGTCATTGAGCTGCCATCATCAACTTCGTTTATTTAAATACGCGGTTCTATTGGTTTTTCATCATTGATTTTGACAGCTTTCAATTTCTTTGAATCAACAGTGTATCGCACTTATTCGAAAAATGTGTTTGTTTTCAATCCTATTAAATATTTATACTTTCTCTCTCTAACACCTGAGTTCTCACGAAAAACACCTTTAATATGAATTTTGCAATACACCGTTGATATCAGGAGATTATAAGCTTTCAAAATCCGTAATAAAAGATCCAGGACCGTATTTAAGAAATAAAGAGGATTGAAAATCTGATAAGACCTCCTTGTATGAAAGTAGAAGTAGAGAGGAGAATGAGTTATTTGTTTTGTTACATCTATTCAAATAGAGTGATGAAAAAATGAAAATGCAACCGTGAATATTCGGCATTCACAGTCTTAGAATAAGGAAAGTGTATAACTCGCTAATTTTCCACATATATACGATTTGCAGCATGAAGCATGACTATCATTCCGTGCTCGTTAAACAATATACTATTTGGAATTTATATGTAATAATTTCGGCATTGAGGCAATAACTTTGGCAATACCCGGCAATACTTATGAAAAATCTGCAAACTACGGCAATTCGGCATTACACTGAGAAAAACTGGGTGATTAAAACGTCTAGTTGGTATTTTTTTAGTACCGATAATTAAAAATATTTGGAATTTTATTAACAATGACAACGTATCCTTATTTCCTACAAATGACTTTTCTATTTTTCGCCAATTATTTGTCATCAATAAGAATACTATTTGTGACAGAATTATCACAGTGTTGTCTATTCAGTCAATTAAAATTTCATATTGGGGTTAAAAAACCTCATCTGGGGTTACTAACAACAGCTGACTATTTGCCACAACTGATGACACATTTATAGTAAAAGGTTTATTATTATTCATAGCAGAAATTGTTTAGCCATAACTAATAATTTTAGTTGTACTGCGTCGTTCGGGACCGCCTCGCGTCTCTTCGGGACCCACCGGCGAAAATTGCATCTTGCATCTGTTTGTCTTTCTGTTTCATCATTTGAACTTGTATCTTAATAGTGGGTAGATCGCACGGTCGTCGAGCTTAGACAAAATAAATGAAATAATTGTCTAGTGTAGCCGGGAGCGTCGTGTTCTTGCTGGTTCACTGCTCTGTGTGTTGTCAAATCACTGTTTTGTGTTTTTTTGCACTTCGCGCTGAGCCATTTGGCATTTGGTTGGCAAAATAATGATTCGCAGTTCACCATCGTTATCTGTGCGTCCCTAGATATCAGGTTTAGGTACCTATTCACAATTCAGTTCAGTTCACGACGGGCGACGGTGAGAAACGTCCATCCGACGTCACGTGTACACGGTGTATATTGATAATTCCCTCTCTTTTTGCTGAGCTGTGGCCTTTGGCACTTACGGTGTGTTGTGTATTCCTGTTCACGATTCCATTGGAAATTGGAAGGAAAATGGCATACAAACTGTTATTATAAGAATGGGGCCTTGATTTCAATTGATATAAAACTATTAAGTTGCCAGAATAACTAAATTATATTTCAAACGTTACTAAATCACTTTTAATAGTAACTAGATTTCATTTCAGTCACAATTAAATATTTAATTTGCAACAACACACTCACTATTAACGTCAGAAGAAATGAGTAATTGTCCCAACTGGGATAATTTGTTGTGATAACAAACATATATTGAAACAGTAATAACAATCTAATTGTCATAACTATGTATCTTGATTGTGGCAAATAAAACTTGGTATTAGTCCTTAAAAAGGCTTATTAGTTACCACAACAACGTCGTAGATGACTCAACTAAACTTTTCATTTGAGGCAAATAGGCGTTTCCAGAAAAACAGAATTAGTTATGGCAACAACTAATGCTTGCTGTCCCCTATCGTACTAAAAAAAATTTTTGTAGTTACTAATTTTTTAGTAACGGCTACAAATTTTTTCCCTCAGTGTATCCTTAGGCATTGATAATCATTCTCAGCATTTGAGCATTACTCGGCAATACCAGGAATATATCGGCATTACGGAAATAAACTGGCATTTATTGCCGAAAATGGCAATAGGTGTACATAATTTTGAGCGTGTCCGATACTTCATGTTTTCTACTTGAAAGAGGAAATCATCATCATAATTTTTGTGTTTTCGTTCGTTTTCAGTTCGTATCCATTCGGATGTTTTACTATGAACAGATATAAGATTATTCGATTACGTCATCGTTTTTCTCCTGGAGATTCTCAAATTACTCTCATTTGGAATTAGGAATGTTTTCAATACCTTCAATGAGCATCAAAAAAAATTCATCAGGAAAAAACTTCATCATTATTTTTCGAATAACCTGATTCATTAATGAAACAAGTCCTTAGATCAGTTAATTGTTGTTTTTATTAACATGAATATATCATACATAATATAAATGATCAATCAGACTTTCCTTAATATTTCATTAATTCAATTATTTCTTGTTTATAATAACAACTCATCCTCCTCTGTTTTATCAAACTACAAGCTGGTCAGCTAGCTACTAACATCTCCCCCTCTATTAACGAAGAGGTTTGAATAACTTACCCGATCTAGTGACACTACCCCTATGTTCATTCGGAATATTAGGTTCAATAGATTTAGACGTACTGGGTATTTCCTCAGAAATTCAATCATCAGATGAGTCAACACCGTTCATTATATGGTGTTTTTTCAAAATCTTCAAAATCATAAATGTCATAGAAATTATCAGCTCCATTTAGTTTTCTTAAGTGTATAGAGTTCCTTCTCAATATTTTACTGTCTCTAGTCTTTACTAAATAAGATCTAGGAGCAGCTAACTTATCTATAATGGTAGCTGGATTCCACAGCTTTGATGAGATATCTTGAAGCAATAGCGTAGGTTCGTATCCTACCGACTGCGCCATGTTTAAATATGCTAATACTTTATTAACATGAATATATCATACATAATATAATTGATCATGTCATCCAAACTTTTTTTAATATTTCATTAATTCAATTATTTCTTGTTTATAATAACAACTCATCCTCCTTTGTTTCAATGAACTACAAGCTGGTCAGCTAGCTACTTACAGTTGAACGAGACGCAAAGCGTCGAGGTTAGCTATGATTTCGAGACAGGAATGAAACTTCCTACCAAGGTTTCTATACTATTTCATTCACAGCCATCACATTTTGATCAAAATTATTAATATCTGTTTCTTCCTGAACATACCTGAAATATTAAATAAGTGAGGGCGAGAAGAAGAGGTGTGCATGTAATGTGACACTTCCCAACCATCAATAACGTCAGTTAATGACAACATTACATATATGGTTATAAATAATAGTAGATTGTTTTATTAGGATCAAAAGTGACACTTTGTTTGACAAGCGAATTTTGCATTTGCGAGGCGGAGCGTTTAGCGAAGCCGAGCGAAAGCAAAATTTGCGAGTCGAACAAAGTCACTTTTGATCCGAATGAAACATGCTATTTTTTCTGCAACCGAAACAATTAACTCAAATAAACATGTGAAGTAACCACCAATGCCGTGCCATATATGTATGCAATGCAACAAATATTGACAAATAATCCATGTGGTGAGAATATTCTACCTGCATTAACAGCAGGTTAGGTTTTCTAGGATGTTCGAATTGAAGTTTCAATATAAATACCACCACAGAGTGACATAATTTGTGTATGGACCAGGTGCTCTAATGGCAAACACCGCGCTAGAGCCAGCTATAGGAACAAGACGTGGAAAATTTTAGGTTAGTGAGCAATGTGAGCATATCAACAATGATAATAGTGATTATTTATTCCTCTCCATACTACACTCTGTGTTTGATGATCGAATGAAGCTAAACAATATCGTTGTTTGAGACAAAAAAACTATTGCTTGGCCTTGCCGTGATCATTCAAAAACAAGTTATCCATCCCGATAATAACGAATGAAATACAGATCAAGCAAGTATTTGAATCTTGAAGGCTTCCCTGATCAAAACAAAAATACTTAACTGAGATGTTTATAATTCCAATACTAAACTATAATAAGGTGTATTTATATCTCCAGCATGGGTATGAAATGCCAAATCTGCTGAAATCGGAAACAAATCAGGTATGCGTCTCAACCCAGATAACCAACCGTCACAATGTTGTTTATTCTTGATGACTTCCAGTACATCATTTTTAGTTCCTAGGAGCTAAAGTTCAACTTTAGCTCCTAGGAACTAAAATTCAACTTTAGCTCCTGGGAACTAAATATGTTGCTTAGCAACATACCTATTTTTGTGACAGTAATAGAAACGTCAATTTAAGAGCTAATTTTGGTATCAAAATGGACGACTTTTGTGTCGGTTGCAGAAAAAAATCATTATTACCGTCCTATAATTGAAATGCATCATTCGGATAGTGTAGTTTCATTAAAAAAATAACGTTTTTTGACCTGAGGCCTGACCGATAAATAATATTATTGTTGTCATTAGCAAGTCGTCTAGATAAGTAACCTACCTTTCGTTAAGGATGGAGGATTGAAGATTAAAAGTGACTGCTTATCGCTAACGTTATCAGTTTTGTTCGTGGAAACCCATACATTTGTGAATACAAGTAGAATTTCCACATTTTGTTTATGCATGTGAGTTTCGTCTGATCATATGCTGAATGTTCTCTTTCTGCATCAGTGTCTACCTACAAACTGTCTTCAACCACACCTTCCATTATTATTGATATCAGGTGAGACTATGTTTTTTTTCAATATTTTATCGGAACGCAAAAAATTTAAACGCTGTTATTTATGTCGAACATCGTACGTAACTGTGGTGAAAAGGAAGAGAAAATAGGTATTTGAACTAAACCTGTGGTCGTAGTATATTGTATAATATTCTGTATAATATATTTTATACTTCAGCACAAATTGAAGAATCGTTTTATTCCTTACTTCGCATGTCAGGACCATTTCATGTCATAGCAGAATGAAATTTTTTATAATTAAGGCTATGTTGACTCAAAGTGGGTTGTTTTAGTTATACATGGAATTTCGAAACCATCTATCCTCTATTGCAACAACAATCTTTCATTGTTTATATTTATTTGTACCTACAGTGTGGAGAATTCAACTGAAACTATTTCACTACCGCGGAGGTAAATAGAGTAATTATAGGAATTCGCCAAACACGTCCAGGTTTTACTGAATTTTCCTATATTTTTCGACCAATATAAACAAGATATCCCTTCAGGAATAGATGATGGTAGTTTCAGCTACCCCTGGACGGATATATTCTCCATATTTCATACAAAATGTGGGTGAATTCATTGTATGTCGGAAAGTCTTTAGAAAAAAGATTCCCCTCCCTGCTAGCGAATTTGTTCCAGAAGCAAGATAAAATTACTTGAAGAAGTCGCAATTTGTTATTTTTCGCCAGAATATTTCACCTCCATGCCCTGAGTAATGAAAAAGTTGTGGATTAGGTTGTAAAATGCATGATCTGGACATTTTCATTTTCTATAAAAACCATCAACTTTATAGGCAAAGTTAGTTGAAAACTACTAATAAGATACTTCAAACATAACTTCATAGTCCTATTGTATAATTTAATGGATTGGGTAATATACAACTTCATTTCATCCAGTAAAATGTGTTTGAGGCCGTCGAAAATTTCAGGAAATTCTTTGGAGTCGCAATTTACCAGATTTCAACTTCTTGAACTATATGTATAATCAGAAAATTATCAGAGGTAGGAAGGTGAGGATATAAGTCAGATATTCTCCTACCTATTTTAATGCCAATTGGTGGAAAGGGGTTCCTTAGACTTCTTTAACAGAATTAGAACCCAATTAATGTACAGTGAAGGCAATTATACCACAATAAAATCCTTCTACAACGAAGGGTACTTAGAGGGTCCCAAACACCAAAAATATTCCTAAAATATTCTCAAAGTTGATGGATTTTATTGCACTTCCTGTTTTGTTTATTATAGTGAGTGGTTTCAGATACCCACAAAGCACATGTACGTCCTATGTATGTCCATTGAATGTACAAAATGGACTTCATGGACGTCCAGTGGATGTCCACTTAGGTCCATGAATGTCCGGTATGAGTCCAATAATCGTCCAGATACACTGGATTCAACATCTTATGTACGTACGCCATGGATGTCCAGTGGACGGACACGAATAACGCTCATTGAACGTAGTACGACATGTGATTTATATACGTCTATTATTCGTCCAATAAATGTCCAGATATAACATTTTATGTACGTATATTAAGGATGTCCAATGGGTGTACATAAAGACTGTCCATTGGACGTACTACAACGATCTTTCATACGTCCATTATACGTCTAGATACGCCCATAACGGTCCGAAATATGTCGAATAAATGTCCAGATACACTATACAGGGTGTCCGGATATTATGCGCAAAAAATCAAGAGGGTGATTTTTTTTATATGTACGTGGGTCCGGAAATGCATAGTTTTCAACATACATTGTGTTGAAACTTTTAAAAAAGATCGGTTTGTTATGAATATCTCAATTGTCCTTTTACCAATTTTCTTGAAATTTGGCAATGATATTCTTTGTCATAAGGGGCTGATATAGCCATAATTCAATTGGTATTATCAAATCCAGTGGCGTCCCAGGGGCAACCTACCGAATATTATTGTCAATAAAATGTGCGCCACTGATTTTTTCGAGTTCTGTATCTTCATAACCTATCGACCAACTAAAAATACAACATTTCGGACTCTTGAATTATTGTGATAATTTGCTTCATTTCCATGGAAAAAATAATTTCCAATTTATTGCATAAAGGACCCCGCATAAAACCATAGGGAATTGGCCCACAGTGGGATGTGCCTGAAATTGGGTCCATATACATCATCAGAACGTATCGACACAGACCGTCGATTAGTAGGAATTTATTTGACTAGAATAGTAAGAAATCAGAATAGCAAATCATCAGAACCATATTTCAGCGACTGCAATATGTACAACCCGTAATTTGTCGAACCGTACTTTGACAGACTGCATTATGTCAGAATGCATAATTCACAATAGTATATCGAAAGACTGCCATATATTCAGAAGTGTACTTTGCCAAACCAGTGAATAAAATACTCTTCATGTCGTCAGAATCATAAAAATATATAATCGTAAAGTCATAGAACCGTAAAAGCACAGACTGTAATTCAGCGACCCGTACTCTGTAGACCACCATTTCATCAGAATGAACATTCCCGACCAGCAAACTGGCAGAATTGTGATGTACAGAATCTGAAAATGGTAGAATGCGAAAAGTTCATACCCGTAGAAAGACAGACTGTCGATTTTTGATACCCGTAAAATGAAAGATCCGTACAATGACAGACTCGTAAAAGCACAGACTGCCAATACTCTAGATCCGTAAAATGCAAGAACCGTACATCGACAGACTCATAATCCATCGGACTACCGGAATTTCCAATCCATAATTCATCAAAACCGTAAAACGACAGACCCGTAAAACAGCAGAATCGTAAAATGACAGACTCGTACAATGGCAGAATCGTGCAGCTACCAAACCCGTAAATTTTCAGAATTTTTTGGATTAAGACCCGTGAAATAGCAGAACCGTAAAATGGCAGAACCGTACATTGACAGACCCGTAAAACGTCAGAACCGTACATCGACAGACCGTCAATATACCAGAATGTGTGAGACGCGTGGAGACTCGGAACAAGCGGTAGCGCATTGTTGCCAAGTTGAATCGATAGAAATTCCTTGCTATACCTACTCAAATCTGATTCAAACTGTTTTATGAAGAATTCTAGAGGGCTGAGATAGGTTCGTACATTGTAGTATTTGTGTTTGATAATCTGTTTGATCCGAATCAGGAAGATATTGACATGATAATTTGATTGTATCAAGATAAAGAAGTATATATCATTCTTTTTGTTGTAAAATTAAATAACAAAACATCAGACATGTGAATATAACGATGTTTTCTATGTATAATAGGTGAATCTATTCTCGGAGATTCTATAAGGCAGTAATGGAATCATTGTATGTCCATTCCTGAACATATAAATATTGGAGAAAAACATCAAACTTTCAAACTTTCCTATAGTCATGGTCTGAGATTCGGATCATAGTGTATACCTTTCAATTTGATTCTCCAATTAAATAGTAGATAATATAAATAAAGAACTTGTAGCATTTGTATATCGCTATTTCGTTTCGGGAAACCTACTCCCCAAGAGTTTTCGAATCTAGTGATTTCTTATTGTCAATTGTGCTCAAATCCCTCACATGACTTCAGTTATAGATTATATATAGGGTGTCCCAAAATTGCTCTACTTGAAGTAGAGGTCAAAATAAGTTGATTGGACCCAATTCGTTTATATACCAAAATGTTCCGTTCGTCAATGGGGTACTTTGTATGTGATCAATGAGGTACTTTGTATAAGATCAATTTCATTTGTGTTTCGGATATCATAATGACTTCATTCATCTTCCATGAAATGTCGAATCTCAAGCAATGGCGGCTCGAAATACCGCCTGTTGGTTGATCGAGGAGGTGTTACATACATTTTACTTGATTATTTGGGATTTTCCCTCCTCGCTTCTACAAAATAATAATATGAGCATAATTTCAATATACAGTGTGGTCATTTAAGTGTGCAACATATGGGAATCTTCTTAATGAATTGCACAACCAAAATACAGATAGTGCCAAGAGTTGGTGCATGTTCGATCATCATTTCAGGTGCACTCAGAATAGTTGCAAGTCAAACAGCATACAGGGTAGGTTAAAAGATATAAAAAGTGCTCAGGAGTAAAGTACCCGTATTTCAAAAAATTCAGCAGAATGTTATTGAGAAAAGTTGTTCAAAATTAAAATTCATACCTAAATACCAGAGCATGGCTTCCTAAGACATTCTTCAGCTCTTCAATTCCTTTCGTTAATAAATTCCCATTTTTTTTTTCAAATTCAAGCATATTTTTGCATTCAACTTGGATTTCAATTTTTATAGGAAATCACAAACTTCATGTTTGTTGCAACGATATTCAGCTCAACTTTGAAATTTTGCGAACCCTATTTTCAACAGGGTAAAACATCATTAATGATAATATGCATATTCAAAAACCTTCATTTAATGTGAACATTTTGTATTTGAAATGTTTATGAAAAAGCTGAACAAATTGATCGACAACCATGATATCTTTTGAAAAATCACGGACACCCATCAAGGAACAGAACAAATGAGGGTTGACAGTAAATATCGAGGCAGTTTGGTGACATACTCCTTATCTAATGATGTTTTACCTTGTTGAAAATATAGTTTGCGAAATCTCAAAATTAAGCTGTATATCGTTGCAACAAACATCAAGTTTCCCTAAAAAAATAAAATCCAAGTTGATTGCACAAAAGTGCATCAATTTCAACAAAAGTATGATCAACTGATTTTGTTATGATCAAATTATGAAAGTGTTTAGGGTGAATATAAAAAAAAATACAAATTGGGAAGTTATCAATGGAACAAATCGAAACACTAAAATATGTCTTAGGAGGCCATGTTTTGGTATTCAGGAAAAACTTTCAATTGTAAAGAACTCATTTCCATAACAGTTTGCTGAATTTTCTGAAATAAGGGTACTTTACTCCTGAGCATTTTTTTTATTTTTTGACCTACCCTGTATGCTGTTTGACTGTATTTTGGTTGTGCAATTCATCAAAAAAATTTCCATATG